ACATCAGCTGTTAGGCAGTTGCCTGACTCTGCATTAATCTGGGCCCAAGAAAGACAGGCCAGAGGCTTACTAGGGCAAATGAATAAATGTACATTACCTGTGCCATAACCTCAATGTAAAAGCTCCTGTAAATTCCCTGCAGGTGACTCAGCTCCAACTATGATGGGTGAACCATATTATCCACATGCTGCCTCACACTGCATGATGCAGGCAGCTGCCTTCCTCCTGCTTTTTATTTCCCAATGCTTGTCACCTTTATGGGTTTAGCGTTTGCCGCTGGCTTAACAGGAGTCTTGCTGGAGCCAGGCTGGGATACCCCACTGTTAGCAGATCTGTAAGAACCAATGTTGCTCTCTGAATTAAACATGATCCTTCTTGAAGTTTCATTTTGTCCCCTCAACCCACGTCCTCATTTGTTACCTCCTTTCATTTAACTCTTTGTAGTCACAGAGACTAGGAAGGGAGACTAGAGGGGTAGGTGCACATTAATATCCTCTCATTTTCTAGCTATATATTTTTTCACACATTTAAGTAGTTTCAAAATGGCAAAAATAAAAATCCCATTGGGAAAGGTGTGAGTAGAATTGTTAATGTAGCATATAGGCTAAATTGGTACCCTGGTAAGTGCAGTCTGAATTAAGCAGTTGGGCATAATAAAGCATGAATTATATTATAATACTACACATCTTCAGTGCTGAGAACATGCATTCTGCCTACTGTATGAAGAAAATAGTAGTTTACAAGCAAATTAAGAGCGTGCTGCCACCAGCAATGTATTTTTTTCTGTAGTAGAAATTACCAGCTTTTAAAGGATCAGAGTGCCAAAAAAAGCTCCCTTATACCCTCCAGATCCATCATCTGTGCCTGTAGAGTCACTGTTCATTTTACTGTCAGAAATAAGCAGCTTCTAATTTTAGACCCGGAAAGCCTGTACAGTTGTGGAAGAATGAACGGTGCTTTCTTCTGCCTTGAACATACTTTGTTGAATGGCCGATCACATTACAGCTCAAGAATCTTTAATCCTGATGGAAACATACGACAAAGAAAGAATGGATATGGATTTTTCAGATTCTCTCATTTCAGTGCTCACAATATTAATATTTAGTGGAATTAGCTGGGTGCTGCTGAGCTGAGTATGTGAGTCATGCTGTCTCTTTTTCACACACGTGTGTTTAAATAACTGCAGTGAGTGTGGTTCATGGAGAAAATAAATCTCAGTGATGGTCTTCTGACATAGGTGTCTTCTTTGTTTCCCATCTGCCTACTTCCAAGTTCTCTGAGTTTCTTGAGGTGGATGGGAAAGCCATATGCAAACTATGTACATCCACAGGACATGTAATCTCATGGAGCTGCATTAGTACAGAATTCCTCAGCTAAGAGATGTCCTTAGACCAGAATTTTCATCCTGAGTGGTCTTTAGCTTAGTAGATATAAAATGTCTAACTTTTCTTTAAATGTCAGAGTTCTTTCTGAAGCTCTTTTCTACCTCCCAGCATGGGCACCATTCACTCCAACACATCCAGAGCACACTGTTTTATAGAATATCTAGGTAAAGTGTCTGGGGGACAGTGGGCTCAGTGTGTGCTGGGTATGGGAGCTACTGAACAGCAGTGTTCAGGAAGCTTTCTGCTAAACAACTGTGTGTATTCATGACAAGAAATTCAACTCTTGCATTATCCAAACCCATTGATGTAAGTATCGATACTGACATTGTGCCTTAGCACCTTGTAATCTTTATTTATCCTGTGAGATCAGAGAATTAGGATTATGTAGTTCACAAAGGAAAGAAATACATGTAAACTTGATTGAGCTAATGTTAGTTATAACAGAAATTAATCTATGTCCTTCTTCATTATACTATTAGTAAGCAAACTAAACTAAAGCAGCTTCGCAGCACTAGGCTTCGATGGTAAAAACTGATCCAGCAGGGCAGACATTCTCAAATTCATGTGGTCTCAGTTGGGACTCCTTGTGCGTGTGAGGGGACTTTAGATACTTAAGACCAGTTGTGTATCTCTGAGAACTAAGCCCTCAGTGGCCTTTATAGTTTGGTAAAGGTTTTTACAGAAACCTCAATGGATCCTTAAGTGAGACCCCGGAGACTGAGAATCGGTTCCAAGACCTGATAACATTTAACTGTTGACCCAATTGCTCTTTTCTGAAATGACAAGAGTATCTTTAGATTCATGAAAATAAATAAATTAAATATGTTGGGACATTCCACTGAAGGGTACAATATGCGTACCTGTAATACAGACCACTCTGCTGCTGTGTGGTCAAGGGCCAGTTGTTAAGCAACAGTAGTCTGTAGGATTGAGCCTTGGTGAACTTTTACTATGACCAAATTCTTTGCCACGAGTACTATGACTTGATTTGTGCCATTGGTGGACCGAAATTTTTTTTTAAATTGTAGGATTCTAAAGGATATAACCAAAAGGTTTAATCGCCATTGGAGTGGACATTTAGACTAGTAGAATGTTTTATACAGGGGAGAAGTCACTTTCCTACAGTTTTTCACAGAGTCTGGCAAGTAACTAAATGACTTTGGTGGTCTGCAGCACTTTAAATCACTTGCTGTTTGACTGAATTCAGTTAAAATTCTTGCAAAAATTTAAACTGGCAGAGTATGAGGAGGTGTGAGTGCCTGGAAAGACCAGGGCAAGAAGGATATGGCCAGGGCCACCAGTTACACTCAGGTCACCGGTAGTTTTCCCTGGAGATTGTCTAGCAGTGAAGGAAGCTACATGAAGTTGTCTGGCAAATAAGATCAGGATCTGCCTCAAGAGGAAAACAATAACAATAGAGGTAAGAAACTGCACAACTACCGAGAGCAGTGCTTGCAGAATCAGCAAAGACATCAGTTAATTCCCAGACAATTTCAATTGTTGCCTACAGAACTCAATGCCAAAGGTTTTTGCAAAAAGTGGAGTGGTCTGAATTCAAAGGCAATTGAATAATTTGATATTTGGATTTTAAGACTTGAGTGGGTTTGTGTGTAAGGTAAGAAAGAGAATAACAGATAACTGCATCTTATAAGAGGCTGAGCATTGATCTTCTGCAAGGTTCAAGGAAGAACTCAGAGGAAGTCTGAGTTGAATGAGGCCACTTTATTATTTAAATTAACACTTTTAATTAAAATCTCTCTATATTTGTCCGAGTGAGCCTAGCCTGTGTAGAGGTTTAAAACCCTCACAGGTCTTTGCAGAACTATGAGTGCTTCAGGTTAATGTTAAATATTGACACATTTAGAACAATGCTACACAGCAGATGTCTTCCCCACATGTGACAGCAGCACTACAAAGCAGAATGAATAGAGCGGAAGCAGTTCTGGAACACCCTGCTGTAACATTCTCATTAGTTCTTAATCTGTAAGGCAGGAGAATAGCCCAACTGTACTGAATACAATAGGGATAGTTGGCCTAATGTTTTTAGTGGGTTAGCCTTCATAAAAAAAGACTATTGAATTCAATTCTTTCTGAAGAACAAGGAGAAAGAACTGCAGAAAAACATGGCCTGATACAGGGACACAAACACTGGGGACACTCCCATCTCTTTGCTGAAGTTAAGGAAAACACTGTGAATTTGGGCAAAAAATATTTTCATGGTTTTCAACACCATATGCTGCTCAGATTGCAAGCATACTATGTCACATATGATCCTGAATATTGGGGGTTTTTTAATTAAAAACAATTTCACTTTAATTATTTTTTTCTTCTGCTTGCAAGAAGACTTCAGAATTTAGCTGTGAGATTCTTAAGTATGTTGTTGTCATTCCCTAAGGCTTTTCTCCAGCATTGCTGCAAAGTCTGCATCCCACTATGCAATTTCATAATGCATGTTTGTCACAGGCATATCAAACCATACAGTTAGTTTAGAATTGAGGTGAGAGAGTGCTTTAAATGTAAATTTTACTATAAACAGTGGAATAAAATCTTGCAAGCACTTCCTAGCACTGCCAGGAAGCAAAGCTATATTTAACTCATTTTAAAATTCATCAAATACATTCTGGGCTGATTCAGATCTTTGGTGTGTCTTTGAAGATAACATGTAGTGGAAGTGTCATACAGTCAGTTGTGAGATTGGGCACGTTCTGAGATTCTTGTCAGTGGAGACATGTGGTTAGGGCTGGATTGTAGAAAGAAAAGGACATATAGATCTGAGGATTTAATATTGATACTTTATTTGAAAATTTGAACAATGACTATTGCATTCAGTTCAAGAGCTTTTAAAGAAGTGCTATATATAAGGAGATTAGTGCCATACCAATGGCAAAAGTCACATGTACACCTGAATTGTAAAAAAGATTGTCTTGTAGTACTTGGGAGAGATAGTATTTCAGAGAAGCTAGTACAAGGTGTTGCTATAATAATAATTTGCAAAAATTTCAAAATACACAGAAAAGATCTCTGGATATTAAGAATAAGTGGTAAGAATTTAGCTAAGGTATGTGTTTACAAAAGGAGAAACTCCAGATAGATCTTCCTCTACCTTTATTTCTCCTGTCTTGGATTGTATCTCCCTGCAGCTTTGTATGCCTGTTATTGATAGGGTTATATATAGACTGGAATAAACCACTCCAATTTCATGCTTCATATTTTGTAGGCATCATTAGATAAGCTCAATAAGACTCCAAGAGATTGTTTAGACCGTTTTTGTATCTTTAACCACTATATATATGCTGTTATCATGTCTCCACTGGGTTTTTTCTAAGTACAAATAGAAGTCTCTCAGTTTTAGAGAACCTGTGAACAATCTGACTTTATCAGCAAGATGTTTACTGTTGCTTATATTCAGATATGGCCTGACTTCGAAGTTCAAGATTATGTATTTTAATAGCTAGGTAAGTCCTACCATTGCCTAAAATCCTTAAAAGAAATAATATGCTATGCACTAACTGAAAAATTCTGAATGGGAAATCAAAACAGTATCATGCTTTTAACATGGTTTTATGCATCATGATTGTTGTTTTCTACTGTTCATTTGCTTTTGGTTTGTTCTAGTACATGACTGCTGCTGCACCTATGCAAGGGACCTACATTCCCCAGTACACTCCTGTGCCTCCAACAGCTGTCCCTATTGAAGTAAGTTTATCTCCATCCATGAAAGTAGAGTGAAGGGGTAGCAGAACTCTTATCTGTTATGCCTCCTTGCACCTGTTGTTTGAAAGGGGCCTAAAGTTTCTTTATGGAGTGGTGGTTGGAGCTTCCAGCTTTTAAAACTAGGACTGCACCTTTCTTTCTCTTTTTGTTTTCTTTCTTTCTTTTTCCTTCTTTTTTCTAATCCTTCTTTATTTTTCTTTTTCTTCTTTTTCTTTTTTACATTATTGGCAAGGGGTCTTGTTTTGCATTTGTTTTGTTGTACAGCAGGACACGAATAAAGCATCAGTGATTATGACTATTTTTTCCCCATGTACTTGGGAGGGAGATGGGAAGAGACAGGAAAACAAACCCAGCAGGCAGACCACGAAACCAAAAGAGATTTCAAGAAGAGAAGATTGCAAGAGGGTTTGATGCGGTCCTTAGCAAGTATAGGTAATTGCTGAAACATTTAGCCACCAGAAAAAGTGATTGAGCAATGGAAACCTTCCTCTTGTATATACAGACGTGGAGGATGCTGCACTGACTGAGTGCTTTTCATCCTTGAGGAAGGATTCGCTCCCTCCCTCCTTGGGGCTGAGTCATGCTGATGACAGTCTAATGAGTAAGTATTTACTCAACCCTGTAGACCACAAGCTGCTGAGAGAGCGTCAGCTTGGCCTCCACTTCTGTGAAGCTTCATAAGGGCCACTGAGCACAGCGAGAGGAGGGAGCCTTGGCATCCTCTTCCCTGTGTGCTTCTCTTTGGCACTACCCTCTTTTATTAATAACTTCTGCCCTACTCTGGGGTAAGGCAAGGAGTGCCAGGGTCTCTGTACTTCTGTCTTCGTCTGTGTGGACTTTGGAGTTTGTGCTATTACTACTCTGTGCTTTCAGGATGCTGAGTTAGTGGTACTGCTGACATGGCTCCACCAGCAGTCAAGTGGACTTATACTGTTTTCTCCCAGTTCTTTGCAATTATTCCCAAATAAGGTCCCACAGGAAAGGCTACTACTGTTCTGTCATACTGAGCTGGTCATTTTTCAGTCTTTTTTACCTTGGTATAATTTTGCCTTAAACATCATTTGTTTAGAAATGCACTATGGGTGCCTCTTTTCAACTGCCATTCTTAAGTATTAAACTGGGCAGATATAAATCTGAATTATAAGGAGATGGTGGGATGGAGAGTGGTTCATACAGCAGTACCGGCTGCACACTGTGCTGACCTGTGCAAATGGGGAATTAAGTTAATTCTTCCTGAGCCCTCCCCCCCATCACCCACTGGTATATTCATTCCTTCTAAAGTAACATGATGTTGTAATTTTCTACTATAATAATCAAAATATTTTCTGAATATGTAGCCTGTTTTGCTCTGAACCAGTGATGATGATTATTGTTAATGTTTATCTGTATTCATGTAGCATCATGAGCCAGGACCCTACCATGCTGGATGCTCTACAAGCAGAGACCAAAAAATACAGTCTCTGCCCCAGAGAGCTTACAATCTCAAGATGAGATGGACAAAAGCAGAAGGATAAAGACAAGGAAGTAGGCAGAAAAGGATAATACTGACAGCCTGTTAAACAATAGATATGAAGAATTTCTGAAAAATGAAATTTATATTTTAACAGATGATTGAAAATAAACTACCTGTTGTTTACACAGGACTCAAATAAAAACAAAGCAAGTGCGTTGTGCTCCCTCTTCTGGCTCTGTTGTGTTCAATAGAGTAATAAAGCATGTTCCCTGAAGAGGCCTGCTAGTGTTATTCATGTGACCAACACACCAAACATGAGAGTAAATGAAAGAAACTGTAGCATGCTCTGAAAGTGTACAAGAAAACTTAAGCTAAATATTATTTGGATTGTCTAAATAGGATAAGAAGTAGAGTATAATGCTCAATTCATGCATATATTCTTTTGTGTTTTTACTTATCTGCTTTTTGAAAACATATAAATGACCCAAAACTTCACTAAAAGCTTCATTTTTTAACAGTTAAAAGTCTTTAGTGTAAAGGAAATTTATTTTTAAAGGGAACATGCATAAAAGCAGTATGTAGAGGAGGGCAGTATTTTTCTAAGGTGGCTAAAATTCTATTGGGTGTGTAGTAAAGTGGAGAGTGGTGGGTCTTGATTCTGCTTTTATTCCATTTTAAATCAAACAATAAATGGAAACTCACTGCAAAGCTGGGGTAGGTAAGCAAAAATTACAGATGTTGTGAAATTACATAGGTTGTAAAAAAAGACAAGAAATAGAATTCAGAATCCACCAAAGTCTGAAGTTTTGCCTCTGGCTTTGAGTGGGCAGGGAACTGCCCTCGAAGGTGGGGGTGTTTTCCACTGCAGCCTGTGAGAACAAAGTACTACAGGAACTGGTATGCTGAGAAAGCTTCTTATTGCTGGATTAGTTCTCTAAAACTGGAGTTTGTTGTGTTAGCATGTGGTTCTGCTACCTCAAACTCTCTTGATCTCTAGAGAAATACAGGAATAGTGAGCTGGTGCTGAGCTCTTTCATGTAGCTCACTGCAGTGAGTAAAATTAGTAAGTTTTTCATGTCTCATTTGATTCCCTAGGGTGTTGTTGCTGATACGTCTCCACAGACAGTAGCATCTTCATCACAGGAAGCCAGTGGTCAACAACAACAGATGACAGTGGAAACATCCAGTGAACACGCGCCTGCATATTCTTACCAACAGTCTAAGTAAGTAGGCATATGCTTTGTAGCCAGCAGGTTTTGCTTCTTGATTATAGTAGGCCAAATTCAACTCCCTGTTTCAGCAATATAAATTCTGAGTACCTTCTTTAAGTTCAGATGAATTCTGCATATATAGCAGTGTAATTAGCAAAAGGTTTTGGCTGATGGCCTCACCTTGGCAAAATGTCCTGGAGTTCCTGCCTGCAGTGATATGTTCTCTAACTGTCTGCTGCTTTTCTGGACTCAGAAGGATCTCAACGACTGTGCTAACAATCATCACACTGAGCTAAAGCAGCATCTGGCATCAGAGGTTAAAAAGGGCTTACATTTTGCAGTGGTGAAAATATTGGCACGGTACACATTGGCAAATATAAAGGTTTCTTTCTGAAAGTGTAGTTAATGAAGCAGTATAAATTGGTGTTTGTGATTCTGCAAAACTGGTGCCATGCAGACACTGAGTGGGCAGGAACTGGAAACGGAAGAAAGGGGTGGGGAGAAGCACTGCTCAGTCTGTCTCTAGTCCTCAGCTCCCTTTGTTTACTTCCCATGGAATACCTCAGAAAATTCAAAATATATACACTGACATCTGGATTTAGAATCCTAAAGAGTCCCTTCACCTTTGGAATAATCCTCAAACACAGCTTCTTTTTGCCACAATAAAACCAGCCCTCACAAAGGGGACTGGGTACTCACCAGGACTGATCAGTGTTGGACAGATTCTACGAAGGAGCACAGATCCAGTCCTTTATTAGTACATGTATACCAGCATCCCTGTGAAAAGAGTTTTATCACACATGTGTTATCTTGGGGAATAAAATAGACAAATAGCCAGACAAGAAATATGTTAGATATGTCAGTCAATGCATCATGACTTAGTACCTATAGAGGCATCAGCTATGAGCTAGTATAGGAAAGATTAGAATTATACCAAGCGGTCAATTGCTTTACTTTATTTTTGACCTCTGGAAGTGGAAGATGCATTTATTTGTCTACCATATGAGTATAAAATTGTTTCAGATCACACAACCTCCCTTTTTGACCACCATAAAATAGAAGACCTCACTATTTCTTTTGTCTTTTTGTACATCTGTCTGTATGTACATATTACAAAACCAATTGATCACACGCTTTTTTTTTTATGTACCCAATTGGACACGTGGTCTATGCATGTGTATCCTTTCTAGCCACCAGTCTCTCTAGTACCTCTAAATAAATGATTGCAAAATATTCAGACAATGTAACAGGCAAAGAGAGAAATATATGTGTCCAAACCATGATGTTGGCTTGTTTTGATGACTGTTCTGTAGCAATTTGGATCTGACCTTTCCCGTGTAACAGTTCCCTTTTGCTGAAGTCTCAAAGCAGAAGGACTTCAGTTTAGAAGCTCTCATAAGGTTGCTGTGAGGTGTGGATTCTGGCATTTTTCCCATGTAGTAAGAAACTATATTGCAATTCTTTATTAAAATGGTTGCTGTGTTTCTTGCCAGTGTGGTGAATTCCCTGAGAATTAGATCCCTCATCTTTCCTTGTCAGCTACTGCCTTTTTGCAATGATGGATATACTTCTAATGGCACTGGCATTTATATTCAGAAGAATTTCTTCCTTTTTTAATCACACAGGAAGATCCACTACAGATATTTTTATTATGCTTATTTCAGTTAGGTTTTTTTCTGAAATGTGCCCTCTATTTATATCTGCCAGTTGCAGACAGAAATACAGTGTGGGAAGCTGTAGAAACAAACCAAAAAATATACACAATCTCTGTCTTTAAATAACTTCTTACAAAATATTTCAGTTACCTTTACTATAAAACCAAGTGAAGCTGTTTTATAATTAAAATATAATTTCATTACTCAGTTTTCGAAGGGCACATTTATTATGCCCAATATACAACAGCGGTTATCAAAGCGAGATAAGAGGAAGTAATTAATATGACCAGGCAATGATTTTGTCAGATATAGGCAAAGGAAATGGCAGACACTGTAAAATTATTTCATAGGAGCTGATCAGTCGTGAGAAAAGTTATAGCAGTATATTTCATTGCATTTATTTTCTTTGCAACAATCATGAAATTGCAGGCAAGGAAGGACAGGCAATGTACCAAGAATGAACTGGTTGGTATAAGGAGTCTGTACTCTCTTTGTAAGTAAAATTAAACCACGAAACTTAAAATTTAAGTTCTACTCTTTAAATCAGCGTACATGTTCTTTTATTTAATATGCTGAGTGCTGTATTTGAGGATGTCACTCATAGATGTTCAGGAATGGTAACGTCATGTCAAAAATCTGGCTATCTATTGTGTAGACAGAAACAGCCCTTGGTTTCTGAGCAGAGGACTTTACTTCATAAGGAAATCACCTTAAGTATTTTAGACCCTGCTCCCCTTTTCTCTTGTAAATATTTAGCTTTTCATATAAAAGCATACAACCTGTGAAGTGGAGATCAATGGAGATCCTTGCCCCAGAAAAGAATACTCTTTTACCTTCAAGTACAACTCTGCTGGACAACCTACTCTGATTTTAAATGTGGAAAGACTTCAATTTTTCTGAAGCCTTTTGTGGGCAAACTCAGGATCAGGTTAGATTAGGGAGTGTGTGCTGTGACTGTTTGGTGAAATTGATCTTTCACACATATGGTGGCCACTCGACCGAGGGGAGCAGTAAAACCTCAAGAGGTGAGCATCCAACTTGCATACTCCTACCTGAAGTTGTGCATAGAAAATCTGACTACAATAGTTGATTGTTGTATTCCACATAAATCTGTTTTTAACATTCAAATTATTAATTTGAAGGCATAAGAGAATTAAAACACCCATTTGATATATTTAGCATTTAAATGTGAAGTTAGTTTCATGCTTACAGCCGAAGACAAATAGTTCTGTGGCTACTGTTAGGTCATCAACATTCTTCACAATTTAATTCCTAATTTCAAAATTAATTTTAAAACTAACCAAGGCAAATGTATTAATATTTGCAAAAGAAATGGTGCTGGATTTTCTTATGTTCAACTTTGGCTGTACAGGATTTTTTCCATGAAGGTTTTGAGGATTGTAGGAAAAGCAACAGCTATCCCTAGACATGGAATAGCATTTATACATATCTTCTATGTCTCCCCAAAGATCTAATATAGTCTTGTTAAGATAAGTTTGACGTGACACATCATAAAATGACATGAAACCTGAAAAACACAAAATGAGAGTTTTCTTCTGAAAGAAAAAGGTTCATAGTTTTGCTTATTCTGTGTGCTGAATTTAGAAAGATTTAACACTATATCATCAAAAATGTATTTTTCTAATTAATATTATCTTGAATGTTTCTACTAAGTTAGCCATAACCAGCTCATTAAGCCGACACAGCTCCACAGTCTAATTGTTCTTGCCATCAGAAAATGTGTTCTTTTTAGCAAATTGGATGTATCCTTTTATTGTAATTTTATCCCTCATTTTATTATTAGTATCCAAAATAAATAGTGGCACTTATTATTATGAAAATATTCACCCTCTTATTGAATTACTTTTGAAAGATTTACACAGTGTTAAGCCATGTATTAATCTCATTTCAGTGTAGTTAGACTGCCTATTAAGCACAGCATTAACAAGAGTAAATTCATCTGCTTAGGATGTGTTAACATCCCCAAAGCAGGAGTTCCCTATTTTTGCCTATTTTCAGCTTAGTGGTGGTATCATATTTAAACAGCTGCAAAGTTAGTTTAGCTTGGATAACATTTAAAGGGAATGGGGGGGGTGGAGGGAGAGAAGCCTATTTCAAAGTTGTTTTGACTTAATGACCACTTTAATTCAATTGTTTTTACAGACAATAAACAGGACTGAAGAATGTCGGTCTGAAATCTTTGCCTTGAATGGAGAAACTTCACTGAACAAGAAGTTGGCTTCCAGTTTGCACAGGCGTCAAATGAATGCTTTTTTTTTCTACCTTTCCCAACGAAAACAAAACAGTGTTTTTATGTGCTGTGCAAATGGTTCCGTCATGTAGTCTGACAATTTTATTTTTGCTATTTTTTTTTTCAACTAAAGGAAAAACCCAGAGGAAAAATGCTGGGTTGACATTTCATCTGGATGAACATTTGAATTCAGAATTTACCTGGAGGTGTAGCTAGATTTATTTTTTTTTTTTAAAACAGAAAAACTGATGATGTCAAGAGGGAGCAAGTTGCGATGAAAACCAATTGTCTTCCTCAAAAATTAAGCTACTCTTTTTCTCTTGTTTTCTTTTTCTTCTTGTTTTAAATCTAGAGTGGTTTTTTTTGTTTTTTTGTTTTTTGGGTTTTTTTTAAAGAAATGTTTAGGTGAGGTTTATCTTGAATCTTAATTGCCTTAATTTTAAGGACGTCAAAGGCTCTCAAGGCAAGCTGTCAACGTCTTGTTAGAAAACCCGAGAATGAATTGAAACTGCTCACACCGGTGCTGGTGCAGAAGTTTAATAGACTGAGTTTTTGGGGTGAACAAAAAATAAACTGTACAGTTTAAAAGAAAATGATTTTCTTCTTTTGAAGAAAAATTGATGATAAAGGAACTGTGGCAACTGAAAGGATTGGAAAAATGCTGGGACTTTTATGAACTTTGTCTTAAGTGTTGACAGAAAAAAATTCTAGAAGGCTAAAGCATTTTACAGTAAAGTTATTGAATTGAGAAAAAAACTTGCTGCATTGTAGAGAATGCAGGGTTTTTTTCTTGCAGAATGCAGATTTTTTTATTTACAAAGCGTGATCGCTAGCAAAAGCATTAGTGCTTTTTATCTGCAGTCTTTTTTATGAGCTTTAAGAAGTTTTTAGTCTGCTTTGCTTGTCACATTGCAAAAACCTAGCTTAAGAGCATTAAAAAAAACTTAAGTAGATAGGAGCTTATGGTCAAAAAAAGTGCAAAAAAAGCAATAGATAGAAGAAATTGTTGACAATTTCTGTAGTCTTTCCTAGTTGTGAACAAATGCAGCCTATGGATGGCCTATTTTATACCAAAGATGAAGTGACACCCTAACGCAGTCCAGAAGATAG